GAAGAAACAGGAAATTGAAGAAAAAAAATGTATTTGGTCGTGGTGATGAAGTAACATAAACGAGTTGTTCTGGGATGGAGGGAAACATGAGCCACTTTTGATTTATTTATTGTTATTGTTGTTATTGTTGTTGTTGTTGTTGTTGTTGTTGTTGTTGTAGTAGTAGTAGTAGTAGTAGTAGTAGGCCATTTACTACCTTCAACCACACCATAGTACTGCCGTAGTTGTCAGGCCCAGTTCCTCCCGTGGGCCTGATGCAGCCTCAGTAACCTGCCTCTGTCCGGACCCAGTTTTTTATGGTCGTTCATTTTCGCGTTTTTCACTTTCATCTGTTGGTTAGGGTTTGGTTAGGGTTTGGTTTCGTTAGGTGAGTTGGGTTTTGTTAGTGGTTGGGTTTAGTTAGGGTTGGGTTAGGGGTTGTTAATGGTTGGGTGAGCTGATAGGTTTGGCAGGTGGGGGTTTTATTGCGTGGTGAGGTGGTGGTTTGGTTGGTTAGGCAGGTGGTTGGTTAGGTGGTGGTGTGGTGGTGTTGGCCAGGTGGTTTTGTTAGGGGTGGTGTTGAGGGCTGGTGTTGGTGGTTAGGTGTGGTGGTAGGTGGTGGTAGGGTTGGTGGTTTGGTAGGGATGAATGGGGTTTGGTTAGGGGTAGGTTAGGCTGAGGTAAGGTTGAGTTAGGTTTAATTGAGGTTTGGTGATTGAGCAGGCTATTGGCTTGAGGTGAGTTGGTTGGCTAATTGAGTTCAGGCCAAGGTTAGGTGGTGGTGTGATGAGTTGGTGGTGGGTTAGGTGGTGGTGGTTGAGTTAGGTGTCACAGCATGCTGAGGTTGTGTAGCTTACTGTCTGGGTAGTTTGCTTTGTTTACTCATTCCCCACAATTGTTGCTGTGGTGGTGTGTGTGTGTGTGTGTGTGTGTGTGTGTGTGTGTGTGTGTGTGTGTGTGTGTGTGTGTGTGTTTAATTATTACGGTGATTATATCGAGTAGAAAATAGTTTGAAGGTTGTTTGGTGAGAGTAAACATATATACATACATACATACATACATACATACATACACACTGTACATGCATACATACATATATACATACATCCGCACTGTACATACATATATACATACCTACATACATACACACTATATATACATACTACTGGTGTATTAAAGCGTAGTGGAGTTATGCAAGAGGTACAGCCTTATTCTGGCAACACTGACGATGACGGTGTTGAGGGGGGGAAGGGAAACCTCTTGTTGTGTGGGTCTGGCAACAGTGGTGACTAGCGAGGCGTGATGGGTGGTGGTGGTGGAAGGTCCTAGGGATGGGTGGTGGTGGTGGTAATGGAAGGTCCTAGGGATGGGTGGTGGTGGTGGTGATGGAAGGTCCTAGGGATGGGTGGTGGTGGTGGAAGGTCCTAGGGATGGGTGGTGGTGGTGGTGGGAAGGTCCTAGGGATGGGTGGTGGTGGTGGTGATGGAAGGTCCTAGAAGGTCCTAGGATGGGTGGTGGTGGTGGTGGTGGTGGTGGAAGGTCCTAGGGGATGGGTGGTGGTGGTGGTGGTAATGGAAGGTCCTAGGGATGGGTGGTGGTGGGTAATGGATGGTGATAACGACCCCCAGCCAGATACTCATAATACGGACAATAATAATAATAACTTATTTTTTATATATAATGGTGATAGTTTAGTTATTATTGGTGATAGTTTAAATAATAATGGTGATAATTTAAATACATTATATAAAATAATTTAGTCACGTTCCAAAGCCAACATTATCCAACTTTATTTAGCTAAATTATTCACAAATCAACATCCAGTAGTGAGGTGTTTACAATCTTGATTTATATCGTGATTTAACTATTTTCTCGGGTCTTTAAACATTTTCAATCAATATGACGGGAAAATAGAAGCAGTTAATGTGATTTTAGGAGTAATTTACACCTCCTAACCTCCAAAACTAATCTACCCACACGAAATTCACTTCAATCCCCACGAGAATAATTTCAGAATCATTATATATTTTTATTCCTGTCTGATCATTCTTTTAAGACTAGTTCCTATGAGTTCATTGGAGGGAATAGTGTAATAGCCGAAAATAGGAGGTGTCTTGCCTACTTACTTACGTTTCCTGTATTGAGGAGTCATTTGTCCACCCTCAAGGAGAATAGTTACGTGAGAATGACCCTAATAAACGCCTAACAATGGTACACAAAGGCTTAACCCACACACACTCACTAAAGATTATTTATTGTTAAGTAATATATTAAATATTGTTTATTTAATGTGGGCGACGCGAGACTGGTATAGCCAAGCACACACTACCCACTGCTGCCCACACAACACCCACGCTATGGTAACCTCACCCATACCACCACACCCATACCACCACTACGGTAACCTCACCCATACCACCACACCCATACCACCACTACGGTAACCTCACCCATACCACCACACTACGGTAACCACACTAATACCACCACACTACGGTAACCACACTAATACCACCACACTACGGCAACCACACTATTTATGGTACAAATAGCTAGTTATTCGACTATTGTTACTATTTGTGGTAGGAATCATTTATAAATTATGAAAGAACTCGCAATCGATATAATCAGTATTAGGTAGTATATAACGAACTAAATATAGTACTAGTTGGTATATTGGTGTGTGTATGTATTTATGTATGTATGTGTATGTATGTATGTATGTATGTATGTATACTTAAATTTAATATACGTGGGTGTATGACATGTAACACTTCTGTGACTGGTGTGTGGGAACAGGTAGGCACTAGGAAAGAGCTATTAGATTATTTGGTTCTATTTTTACAACCCAGAGGAGACGTGTAGGAACTAGTGAGGAGGAGGAGGAACAAGTAAGGAGGAGGAGGAGGAACAAGTAAGGAGGAGGAGGAAGAACAACTGAGGAAGGAGCCGTTTATTTGACCGTCTTCTTGGCCTCCACAAGTTCATGGCCAAGTCCCTGCGGTTGCCTTTAGTGCGTCGAACTTTGCCAAATAACCCAACGTTAAATATATTATAGAGTTCTAACTATTTTTGGGGGGTTATTAGATATTATATTGTTTGATATTTTGACAGTTTAATTAGTTGTTTGGTTGTAATTAGTTGTTTTTCTGGTTAAATGATGCGAGGCTGAGAGAATTAACGTCCGTGGGTTTGGGTTGGCTACACTGGTGAGGAGGGATGCGTCAGCAACACACTCCATATTGCCAACCAGGTTTTATTTATTTTTTATCATTTATTATTATTTCAAAGCTTGTTATAATTTATTTTATACGTAGTTTATTGCCAGTACACTTAACAGCTTAATTAAATAATGTATTATTTCGTAAAACGCTGTAAACTACTTCGTTAAAGCAAAGACGACGAATGAATGGTCAATAAACTAAGAGTTGTCGTTGGTTGCAAGGCCTTGTGAGTGCACCGAGTGGCCAACAAGTAAATTTGAAGTCCATTTAATATACAACAACCTGAGTCAGTCAGTGAGTCAGTATTTATCACCACCAGAAGGAGAAAATGACGTGACTCACCTAGTCAGTGATTCAAGTGAGTCAGAAATTAATTACATCATAGGTTTTATAGTAAAATATTAAGTAATTTGTGAAGGTGTTATTAAGGGAGTATATATATAACAGCAAGTCTATATATTTGTCCTAAATAAAATAATCCCTGAATAAATCTTAACCTACGTATATAAATAATACTAAATATACACAAACGTATAAATTAGTTATATCATTAGTTAATTAGGTGATTAGTGAAGAGGTTAATAAGGGATGATAAATATAATCAGTCTATAATTACCCTAAATAAAATAATCAATTAATAAATCTTAACCTACGTATATAAATAATACGAAATATACACAAAATAAAGTATAAATTAGTTATATATACTTAATTACAACCTTAAAAAGTAATGATATATAATTACCAGAGCTTCCCTCAGATCACAGCCTATATAGGGAAGAAATCAACCCTTGTATATTTTAACCATTTTAACTCATAAATGTTGTATAGATTGTGTATTTTGTACTATACTCATGTATTTTTTACTCCAATAGTCACGTTTGTCGTCATAATACACCGGAAATGTGTTTGTTTGGGAATATTTGGCTGTTTTATTAAGGCTTGTTTAGAGGCCCCACTACCCAGTCCGTGTTTCATGTGGGTCTGGTTAGTTATTGTTACTTTTGGCTACTTTTTGACTTTAATTTGTTATTTTTTTTAGTTTTGTTACTTTTTGGACTTTAATTTGTTACTTTTGTTGTTGTTACTTTTTGGAATTTAATGTTACTTGTACTTTTTGCTACTTTTTGGACTTTAATTTGTTACTTTTGTTATTGTTACTTTTTGGATTTTAATTTGTTACTTTTTTATTTATTTTGTTACTTTTTGGACTTTAATTTGTTACTTTTATTACTTTCTGGACTTTAATTTGTTACTTTTGTTACTTTTTGGACTAATTTGTTACCTTTTTATTACTTTAATTATTTTTTGTAGTTTATTTTGTTACTTTACTACTTTTACTTTTTATTTTGTTACTTTTACTACTTTTATTAGTGACTCGAGTATTCAATATATTCTTCCTTAATATTAATAGGTTTTATAGTTAGGTGAGGTAAGGTCATGTCAGGTCAGGTCATTAGGTCAAGTTAGGTTAGGGCTGGTTAGGTCAGGTAGTAAAATTTTGTCAATATAGTTTTTATTTTGAGGGCAGGGGGGGTGCTGGATTTGTACCTAACCTAATGTCATTTATATTTACATGGAAATTAACCTAACCTAATGTAACCTAACCTAACAGTAACTTAACCTGACCTAACAATAAAATGTATAATCAAATCTTAGGAAACTTAATATTACATACTTTAGTCATTAGTCTAAGGCCGTTTATCAATAACCAAAAAATTACGTAAAAAATATAATCGATGAAAGCTCGGAAAAATATTGTCGCATAAACTGATATAATTTTCTTGTATATAACAGGAAGATGAGGGCAAGCAGTGTTGAGGAGGTCGGAGGCCATGGCCCGGGTGACCCATGGGAGGTGTTCACAGCACTGGCCATCCTGGTGGTAGAGGGCCGGACCCCTGGTGGCGAGAGAGGCTACCACGCAGGACCCCATTGTCCACTACCACACCAGCTGCAGCATAAACATTCTTGTGACCAAAATGACCACTTGGTGAGTAGGTTATTGTTAGGTTAGTACAGTAAAACTTGGGTTCATTAAATAGAGGTTTCACATCTAACGGACCTTCGATATAATGGACTTAAATCGCCATATAGTTCATTATATTGAGGTTTCACAGTATCATCATTATCATTGTGTATTAGTAATTAAGGTAATAATAATTAATAGAGATGATGACTACACTAATGTTATATAATTCAACCCTTTGACTTAATTCAGGTCAACCCTCAGGCTCTAATTGGGGTCAAGTCCTGTCAATATTATTATTATTACCTGCCCTGTAGATGTATTTTTCTGACTACATAAACTTTTAATATATAGCATCAATATTTTTTGGGCTACAAACTTTTAATATATAGCATCAATATTTTTCTGACTACATAAACTCACAATCTATGTATTATTCTGGCTACATAAACAATCATTATCAAATCATTAAACCCACAAATTCTTTATCATAAAATTACACACAAATCGATACAGTAATTTACAGTTATTTACAGCACCCAGAACATTATACAGTAATTTACAATTATTTACAGCACCATAAACATTATACAGTAATTTATAGTTATTTACCCAGAACATTATACAGTAATTTATAGTTATTTATATCACCCAGAACATTATACAGTAATTTATAGTTATTTATATCACCCAGAACATTATACAGTAATTTATAGTTATTTATATCACCCAGAACATTATACAGTAATTTATAGTTATTTATATCACCCAGAACATTATACAGTAATTTATAGTTATTTATATCACCCAGAACATTATACAGTAATTTATAGTTATTTATATCACCCAGAACATTATACAGTAATTTATAGTTATTTATATCACCCAGAACATTATACAGTAATTTATATCGTTATTTACGCCACCCTAAAGGTTATTCTTACTTCCAGTGCATGCAAGCCGGGGCCCTGGTGCGGCAGTTGCGGGTAATGTGGGGGGTCGGTGTGAGTGTCAGCCTGGAGGTGTTAGTCGCACCAGAGTGCCACCATGGAGCAGCACTTGCCACCACGCTCGACACCACCACCGCCCCCTCCCAGAACCTGCGCCTCATTGAACAGTGGAACTTCACCATCTATGACCGCAGGTGACGTAATGTGAGGTTACGTTCGAGCCTTGGAACATTGAACATTTGAGGTACAAGTAACTTAAACTTATTCGACGCCTGGAGGGGAATGAGGAGAATGTAACACCTGGTAATGTTGAATGAGATACAGCTGGGATTGCTGTACAGATGCCGCAGCTACTTCACTCCTGAGCATTTGCATCAAGTATATAAGGGATTCATTGGTCCTAACTTTGAGTACTGCTCTCATATATGGGGCAGCTCTTCAACTGTTAGATAGGGTGGAATCAAAGGCTTATTAACTCTCCTCCTTTAGTTGATAATCTATCTTCTCTTCACCACAATGTTGCTTCACTCTCCCTCATTTACAGGTACTTTAATGGTCACACTATAATAACCCGTTATAGTACAGGTAAACCCCGGGTAAACTTCAGGTAAACCCCAGGTAAACTTCAGGTCATTTACAGGTAAACTCTCTCTCACGCAGTACCATTTTTCCAGGCTCCCAGACGCAGCAGCTACTGGTTGGTCCCTGATGGCAGCTGTGCGTTCCTTCCTCCACTTCTCGCAGCTGTCCGCCTGGCTGAGCGTCTCCAGGGGGCGGCGGCCACCCAACGTACTCTGCCGCCTCACGGTCACGTCGCCCGTCTTCTGTTCCAAGTTCACCGAGGAAGCGGAGGAGCATGTGTTTCCCATCGCTTATATGGGGCAGGAGACTTCTATTAAGGTGAGCTGTTGACTGGTTTATTTCCTATTTTTTCTACTTTTTTATATATTTTTTTTTATATTTTTCCTATTTTTGTCCTATTTTCTATTTTGTTCTATTTTTCTCCTCCTCTCTATCTTAATAGAACTAGTTAGTCTTATTTATTGTTAGTCTATTAATTAAAGTTCCTATTACAACATAAGTCTCATCCAAGTTTATTGTGTTTTTTAAGTTTTGTATCACGTTTTTTGTCATAATTTTACTGTGGAAGATTTTAGCATTGGTGTTTGTTTGGGAGGGGGGTTACCATACTATACTGTCATTACCTTTACTTGAGTAGCACTTAGGAAGACACTTAAGATCTGAGGGTATTATTACAAGACACTCGAGATCATTCTACACCTACCGTACTTAACATCTGGACAATAACATCGGTAAAAATCTTTTCATCGCAGGTGGCCGTACGTTCACTCCCTCGCAGCGACAAGGTACCAGTGGTGGTGTGTCCCGAGCCCCACGATGAGGAGGAGGTGGAGGTGGTCGACGAGTCACCGGCAGACAGCTGTACTTCTGGGTACTCTTCGAACAAGACCGACATGACCAGGTGATTTGATTTTGCTGTCGTTAATGTTTAAAATTTATTATATGGTGATTATCTAAAGTGTAATTATTTGTCTCTAATGAACAATAATTTGATTTGCTTGGGTCTATAATTTATTCTATGGTGATTATAATAGTCTAATATTGTTCCTATAATGACCAGATGATTTGATTTTACTGTCCATAGGTCTAAAATTTATTATATGGTGATTATCTAAGGTCTAATGATTTATCTCTAATGAACAGTAATCTACAGTAAATGGAAATAATTATTCTCTAATGAGCGGTTAATGATAGAATTTTCTTATAATTACCCAATATCCACCAATGTTTACACTAGCCATCAACTCTATAGGGCTAAACTCAGACAGATTCTCGAACATTATATACCCTTTCTACGCTAACCTGTCCCATAAGCCACGCCCCTCATCTATACCTATCACCTGATTGGTTCCCTTGAGTGTCTCCCCACACCCTCCCCCGACTGAGTGTATTTATATCGATCTTTTATAATAAATATTTAACATCTTCTCTCAAGTGTTAATGTCTTGAAATAATTAAAATTTTTGCTATTCTAGTTATTTAACATTATTTTAGCTAACAACAGGTCTACTGGCCAATGGTAAACACTGTTCGAACTTTTCTATGAACCAATCAGAAGGGGGGGGGGGCGTGGTTTATGGACCAGGTTACCGTGGAAATACCATAGTAACTTAACTAAGGTAATTTAAGGTTGAACGACGCGGCATTAGTTTGTTTGAATTGTCTACGAACCAATCAGCTATTAATATAGAAGTAGGGGGCGTGGCTTATGGGCCAGACTACCGTGGAAATACCGTAGTAGCTGTTTGTAATGACCACAGGGAAATTAATATCATGATTACAACAGTTAACACTTAGGGTTGAGAGGTCGTTAGGAGTCTTGTAGTCACAAAATAGTCGGCCAGGTTGATTTAGGGTTCCAGGACTATTTTTAGGGTTCCAGGACTATTTATAGGGTTCCAGAATTATTTTTAGGGTTCCAGGACTATTTTTAGGGTTCCAGGAATATTTTTAGGGTTCCAGGAATATTTTTAGGGTTCCAGGATTATTTTTAGGGCTCCAGGTTGACTATTTTAGGGTTCCAGGAATATTTCAGAGCTCCAGGTCCTGTGGTGATGTTAACTTTGCAATTAATAAGTTAACTTTATATTTAATACTAGTAATTAATATGTAGATCAAACTAGACAATTAATTAAGGTCTGGTAATATTATTGGCATCACAGGATTAGTCGTCTATTTAATTAAGGTCTTTAATGATTAGTTAATGAAATATATCTGGAAAATAATCAACGGTTTTAAAGAGTTTTGGCAAGATGATGAAATATATTTAGTGTGATACATAAGGTTGTTAGTTTTTATACAGAGTTAAGATAGTCTCTAAAGCACAGGGGATGGTAATGATTGGAATGCTGTATGTATTAAATAGCAGAGATAATAAGCTATTTTAGATGCTATTAGTAGGGATCTTTAGTGCCCTCTGATGTACTATTGCAGTATATAAATTACAGCTCATTTTTTCACTTTGGGTTGAGGAATGAGGGTTATTTTACATGGGATATATTAAAGTCTTGATAATTTCCTGTTTGGGGAGATTTTTGATCGATGGATAAATTTCCCGTGTTTACTTTACAGATGCGATGATTATTTATGGATATGTTAAACTCTTGAATATTTTCCTGTTTGGGGAGATTTTTGATCGGTGGATAAATATTCCGTGTTTAATTTACAGATGCGACGACGACTTGAGGAGAAGCGTGATGAAGGCGAGACTGGCAGAGAACACCCGCATCAGTCGCAGCGAATCCCCGGACACCCAACTCGGGGAATCCCTCTTGGATCCGCCAAACTCCCTCACCCGTTTCCCCCGTCGCTACCAGTCGCCGTCGCGGTCTGGCTCCCCGTCTCTGGAAACTCCCGAACACCTCATATGCCGACACAGACCCCCGGCCCCGCAGAACGCCAGGCCCCCCGACATTGGCATGGTTTTGGGACCGACTCCGCCCTCCCATCCGTTCTCTTGGACCCAGGCGAGGTATCCGATGACTCCGGTTGTCCATCAGGCCTCTGCGGATTCGCTCTGCCCGCCCGACGCCGAAGCATTACATCATCACCACCAACAACATCACCAACATCACCACCAACAGCAGCTTCACCACCAACATCAACATCCCTACAGGTTCGACTACTCGGGTCCCTCCTATCAACAGTATCAACGGCCGCAGCTCGTCTATAATCGTCCGCATATGTGCTGGCCGCAGGTCGAGCCGGCGATGCAGCACAATCCGCAGCACGTCGCCCCACATCCCTTACGGAACCATCTCTCGGCCAGCCCCCGCAGCTACGACAAACCTCGGGGCCAGGTGTCCCCGAGAGGCGGGAAATACCAGCATTATCCCGAGTACCAGATGCCAGAACAACAGGAATATCCTCTACCCACAGGAGAGTACCCAGACCCTTCACCAACCAGACCTGTGGGGGAGTACCAGAAGACCGATCCGTATACGAGGCTGATGTCGACGAGGGGACAGTACCCGGACGTTAGAGCGGCGAAGACCAGGGATTATACCCCGTGCCGAGACCAGGGGCTCAAACGTCGAGGAGAGTGCTCTAGCGAATGGGAATGCCAGACCGACCATCAACACGGCAAGAGGGAATACTTCAAACAGTTCTCGTCCGAAAGCGAACCCTGTAGCTCTAGAGTAGCAGGCGGGAGCACAAGGGTCAAACAGAGCCTCGACAAGCCTGGCGGGCCGACGAAAGAAGCTCGACAAGACCTTCCCGAGATAATGGACGATCAACTCAGACCCAGTTGTTCGCACACGGGGAAGCATTTATGTTCCAGTATAGAGGACCTGACTGAAGTAGGCAGGAAAGAGGAACTCAGACCAACACAGCCTCATCCTAAAGTGAGTTTATTGTAGTACAGTATTTATAATAAGTCTTCAGGGTCCACACTCCTGTAGTGAATATCTCCACAATACTCTTTCCACGGTAACCTGGCCCCATTAAACCACGCCCCCTGCTTCTATACTAATAGCTGATTGGTTCATAGATAATTCAAACAGTGTTCACCATTGGCCAGTAGACCTGTTGTTAGCTAAAATAATGTTCAATATCTGGACTATCAAAATGTAAATTATTTCAAGACATTAACACTTGAGAGACGATGTTAGAAAATGTTAGATATTTATCATAAAAGATCAATATAAATACACTCAGCCCGGGGGGGGGGACACTCGGGGGAACCAATCGGGTATTAGCTATAGACGAGGGGCGGGGTAAGACACTCGGGGGAACCAATCAGGTATTAGCTATAGACGAGGGGCATGGCTTATTGGACAGGTAAGTGTAGAAAGGGTACAGTGTAATTCCCCCACTTGATGTTACTGAAGCACATAAATCAATCAATAGAGATCTTACAATATAGATTTTATTAACTTTTAAAACTTAGTAATAATGTCTTGTGTAACTCTATTAATGGCTTCTCAACAAGTAGTTAAGTGTCATATAACTATTAATGGCTTCTGAACAAGTAGTTAAGTGTCATATAACTATTGATGGCTTCTGAACAAGTAGTTAAGTGTCATATAACTATTGATGGCTTCTCAACAAGTAGTTAAGTGTCATATAACTATTGATGGCTTCTGAACAAGTAGTTAAGTGTCATATAACTATTGATGGCTTCTCAACAAGTAGTTAAGTGTCATATAACTATTAATGGCTTCTGAACAAGTAGTTAAGTCATTCAAATATTAATTAATTTATGATTTTGTTTTCTTTAAGGAACTAAAACAAGAATTGAAAAACAGAGGAGACGTCGTCAGCCCGGGCCACTTGTTCCGCAACAAGTTCAACTTTGAGCTGACACCCAGGGAGACCATGGAGATACTCAGCGTTCTACGGCAGCCGACTCCCGTCCCGCCTCTACGGATCGACCGGCACAGGAACAAATCCGCCACGGAATCTCCTGGAGGCTCGTGCGAGTCCAAGACCCTGTCGCGCTATCGGGGCGGAGGCGGCGACGTCGGCAGTAAATCTTGGGACGAGGAGGAAATGAGTGTGAATTTTTTCGAGTCCAGAGAAAAGAAAATTGAAGGGAGGTGTTGGGAGGAAGGGAAGGTCGAGACTCTACGGTGGAAGGAACGGGAGGGTAAGAACGGATGCAGAACGGACGGGAGCGGCGAGAAGACCAGAGAAGTGTCCTGGAATGACTGGAGAGGAAAATCCGGGCCAGGAAACTCCTCCGTCGAGCGTCGAGGACGGGACGGCGAGAAGTGCCATAGGGAGAACTGGGGGAGAGCAACGAAGAGCGGCGTCCGGGAGTTCAACCCAACTCCGGAGAACCTGTTTCTGGAGGCCATAGCTCGGACCGGGGAGAAACATTGTGATATTTCTAGTTGTAAGACATTAGTCGATAGTAGGGAGTCGTATCGGACCAGAGTGTGCACAGATAACAAGACCGGTGAGAAGGTGAACTGCGATGTTAAAGATTTGTGTGGGGGGAAAAGTGCGAGGTCATTTATATCCCAGAGTCAGTCGAGGTGTATTGAGGCGAAGAAGGTCACCCATAAGACTAATTCTTTTACCGCCAACAGCGAACCGACCCGGCCGGTTACCTCGCAGCCGCAGAAACAGACGTCGCAGACTTTGGTCAAGAGCCCGTTCGGTGCGGTTTTATCGAGCATTAAGAGAGAATACGGCCGGGTCTTGGAAGACGAACTCGACCGAGATTCGGCGAAATTAAAACCGTCGAAGGAAAAGGACGCCGTCAAGAGGGCATTGAATTTCGACGACAAGAGATCCGTCGATTCGTTCGCCGAAAAGACCTCGGAGGAGAAAAACACATCCAACGGCAAACTTTTCGGCGGCGAAAAGTTCCACCAGTTGGAACCGGTCGCCCAGACGGTCAACAGAGACGCTAGAGGCGTACGGGACGCTCGTGAAGGTTTTCTAAAGAGTACAAGTTTACTCAAACACCTGATGACTAAAACACACCAACCACCTCGGGGCGCCTCTCAGGACAACGATGGAATGGACTGGAATGAACTGGTGAAGAAAGAAGAAGAGGAACAAGAAGAAGAAGAAGAAGAAGAGGAGGAAGAAGAAGATGATGATAAGATTGAAACACAGGAGATGGAGGTACAGGAAGGAGAAATGGAACTCGTGGACAATGAAGTAGAGAAGATCTGCAACGGTAAGGGGGTCCTGATACCGTCTGCTAGCGAGAAGGCCCAGTTCAGGAGGTCTTTGGACTCTGCGACTAATATGGTCTTTCACAGCAAGACCGGGCTGCCTCTTACGTCCTCTCCAGCGCCTCTTAGGAAGGGGAAGAGGTTCGATTACGACTCAAGTCTCAACACCATCGCTGCGATCAAGAGGTGAGTTACGGAAAAGGGGGTTTGTTTTTGTTTAGCGCTGGTTGGTTGATGTCCTTGTTTCACTGGGTTGGGAGTGGCTCTTAGGATCTTAAATGCAATGTAATGTTAGGTGAGGTTAGGTTAAGTTTCCAGAGAGTATCAATGGTAAAGCTCTCAGACAAGCTTTCAGGAGAGTATCAATGGTAAAGCTCACAGACAAGCTTTCAGGAGAGGCTATCAATTGTAATGCTCACAGATAAGCTTTCCAGAGAGTCTATCAATGGTAAAGCTCAGTGAGTGTGTGAGGTCAGTCATTATTGGAATTAATTACAATATATTAGGTATGAAAGTAGAAGTCATATATATATAACATCATTTAATAGAGATTGGCATTAATAATAGCGTAACAAAGTAATCTAGTCTTATCATCAAGGTATAGATTGGATGTTTTGTTCTTAAGTTAACCTAAAGAAGAATTGGAAGACATGATTAATAAAGGTTATGTCTGGTTCTTGATGATAATACAATGTCCTTTGTGGTGTATTTGTATTAATTGATATTATTATAAGATACAGTCAGCCAAAATACATCTTAAACTTCTGGGAATGTTGGATGTGAGAATGAGTAGAATGTAACACCTGGTAATGATGAATGAGGTGAATGTAGACTTGTTATGTGGGAATAGTTTAATTTTGTTCATATTTGGAGTTGTCAGGAATATATTGGTAGACACAACATAACTTCTGGGAATGTTGGATGTAAGAATGAGTAAAATGTAACACCTGATAATGATGAATGAGGTGAATAATGGAGGCTTGTCATCTAGGAATGGTTTCAGATTCAACGTTCATTTTCCAGATTGTTCTTATAGCCTTTGAGAAGTATTTGGTGAGGGTTTACTCGAGTTGGTTTGTTTATCACCTCCATTATCCCTTGGACCGTACGAAGGTTTACAAGGTCGTTCAGTGTTTAGTTAAAGCCACTTTTCAATTGATGTAACTTAGTATAATCCGAGTCTTTTTTAATTATTTCTTTTCAATTGTCACAACTTAATCTGACACTATTTCTTTTAATTATTCATTTAGACATTTTAGTACTGTATATAGTCATTTATCAATAGACCTTTAAAATAAGGAAATATTTCCTATACAGTATTTATTTTATCTCCTAATGTATGATTCCGACAAACTTAGTAACTATAAACTAAATTAATTCTATTTTTAATTTACATGTTAGTGACCAAATAAAAAGCTGGATATTGTATTATTGTTCCCACATCATCCAGCCTGTGGGTGAGTGCGACTGTTCTGTAACTGACTGACCCTTTACCCCCCAAAAAAATGTTTAGATCGACTTCGTTCCACTGCAGCGCGTTGTACACCTGTGATAATGGGGAGGAACACACCTACACCATCGAGGCTCACGACGTCAGCATGGCCACCACCAAGTCCACGATGATGCAGCTCTCGACGTCGGCCCCGGCCACCGTCACCTGTTCGAACCTACTCGGCAGCTTCGAGGAGTGCGTGTTGAACGGACGACTGGAGCCCGTGTCGACCGTCCAGGGGTTCACGGCCGAGATAGCAGCTTCGGGAGCCTTCTGTCCAGGGCGCACCACCAAGCCGGTCACGGTCTTCTTCTACACCCTCTGTGATAATGACCAGATCTCATCCCCGTATATGGTAAATATATACTTGTGTTACTCTGGTCTTTCTTAGTGTTGGGTGTAGTGTTACGGTGTTGGGTGTAGTGTTACGGTGTTGGGTGTAGTGTTACGGTGTTGGGTACAGTGTTACGGTGTTGGGTGTAGTGTTACGGTGTTGGGTACAGTGTTACAGTGTTGTGTACAGTAAGTTAAAGGTAATTTGTTCATAATTTATTTTAATTCGGTTTTAAATGTTGGTCTTGGTATAATGTCTCGTTTGGCTAAATTAAAAACAAATGCCTCACATTTTTTTCCTTAAATTTTTTTTTTTATATGTATTTATTCATTCTTATAATTATAGTTTGTATATAATTTACTTTACTGTTTAAGAATGTATACTGTACTATACTGTAATGTACTGTACTGTAATGCACTGTACTCTACTATACTGTAATGTACTATACTATACTGTATATGCTGCTTAACCTTAAGTAATCATGTACTATACTGTAATAAACTGTACTGTAATACACTATACTGTACCATACACAAATTCATCTGAAATATTATAGATAATTTTTTTTTAACGAATAGATTTTTAAGAGTTTTAAGAACGTACCTAAAATGTTCCTATATGTCGACAGATGACTAAAAAAAATACCTCAAAATTAGTCGACATGAAAAAAAATATGACTTTCAATATGTTCACTTCACTTAGCCATTTTCTTTCATAGGGTCATATTAACTTGGGCAAGAAGGGTTACCATGTGCCAAATAGAGGAACGGTCCAGGTGACGTTATTCAACCCTCACGGTACTGTAGTGAAGATGTTTGTGGTGATGTACGATCTGTCCGATATGCCGCCCAACTCGCGTACATTTGTCCGTCAACGAACGCTCAACATGCCCGTGGGAGCCAGCGATTCCGATCCTAATGCTCATCAATGGCTTCGTTACCTCATCCATCTCAGGTGTGTGTGTGTGATTTTCTTGTTTATTCGTAATTTTTTTAGCTTTTTTTATCACTACTGTATATATAGAATTTCCATAAACAGTTTCAGTAATTAAGGTAATGAATGATACAGGTACCATCTACAGGTAAATCTCGTTAACACTCGGTTTGTTCTTCACAGGTTCGTCAGTTCTAAGTCCAGTAAAATCTACCTCCATACTGATGTCAGAATGTTAATCTTCCGTAAGAGTGACGCTGATGCGGCCACCCTGCACAAGACCAGCGTACCTTATGAGCTGCGTTCGTTCACACACGGCCCCACCAATCCTAAATTCTCGCCCAGGAAGTAAAAGAAAAGATGAAGTTTTCGTGTTAATGACTGCAGATCGCACTATGAGGATCCTGATTAGTAGTAAGTAAATACTGTGGTGTACTATACTGTGGTGTACTGTACTGAGCTGTACTGTATTGTACTGTACTGTACTGTATTGTACTGTACTAAGCTGTACTGTACTGTACTATACTGAGCTGTATTGTACTGACCTGTATTGTATTGTACTGTATTGTACTGTACTGCACTGTATTGTATTGTACTGTACTATAATGTACTGTACTATACTATACTGTACTGTACTTTACTGTATTGTATTATACTGAAATTGTGATTATTTGTGTTTGGTTGATGAAAATAAAGATATTGGATATTTATTAAACCATTGTAGAAAAATATAAAAGAAACAAAAATTGATGTATTTCTAAAATTATATTCTTAACTAGAGACAAACCTACACACACACTACACATTTATTGAAGAAACTACCATGTAACCATATCACAAATTATTCTTTTTTCTTTTCTAACAAGGACTTGAACAGGGGAGGGGGGGGGGGTTCTTATAAAAACAAATTTAATTACTAATATAACTTTCAAAATAATTAATGTTTGTTTTATATAGAAAAGTAACATTAACTTTTTTTTTTGAGATTATAAATACTTCCAGCCAGGATTATAGGTTATATCCCGAGAAATTGCACGAAGTATATCAGATGTTGTATGTATATAAGCATGAATGTATGTACAGTCGGGGTTAAAAAATTTGCTCTCCGCTGTGAGAAGGAATCACGGGAATGAATCTCCGAACTGACTTGACCTTAGCCGTTATGTGTCATTTGGAGTCGATGCTGTATGTATGTATGTATGTATGCATGTATGTATGTATGCATGTATGTATGTCTCTGTGCGTGTGTCTCGGAAGTCTCATCAACTAGTGTCATTGCCCTGAACTTCAGAACGACCGTAGATTTTTGGTAACAAGAATAATAAATAACTTAATTAGGGGTATGTGAAGCATTAATGGTATGTGAAGCATTAATGGTATGTGAAGCACTAATGGGTATGTGAAGCATTAATGGTATGTGAAGCACTAATGGGTATGTGAAGCATTAATGGTATGTGAAGAATTAAGGGTATGTGAAGCAATATGATGAGAGGACACACTAGGTTTGGTAACTATTTTAATAAGTGTCTGGTTCTGTTGTGTTTGGTCTGGTTTATGTGATATAGTTGTGTTGATATTAATGAGTGAAATGTTAGAAGCTGATCTCACTATTGTTATAGATCCTTTTATTTCCTTATTTCTTTCTTTCCTTTTTCTTTCTTTCCTTCCTTCTTTCCTTCTTATATATTCATTCCTTCCTTCCTTCCTTATATTTGAGTTGCATGATAAACTTATGGTTCTGTTAATATATATTGAAGAATCTAGGAAGTGTTTTATTTATTTTATTGACAAAATTCTTGTACTAAAAAAAAATATTTACATTGTTAAAGCTTAAAAAAAAAATATTTATCCTCTTCAAGCTTTAAGATATGTTTGTTTTTTGGGCTTCAGATGTACAGTCGGGGTCAAAAGTCACAAACACTCGACGGTATTTACCATGTAAGTACCCGAAGATCTTGGGTATTAAGGAGGGTTTTATCCCAGTTTGTGGTTCAGACATAATATGTGATGACCAGTAGTGTTATTAGTATATCCCAATCATATAACTCACAAGTAGATGACAGATATTGTTAAGTGTTGTTCAAGACTTCTGACCACGACTGTATGTAAGTTTATTTTGGTCGATTTTTGGAATAGTTCGGATAGCAATATATCACAGGTCTTGTTATTTAGTGCATCATTGTATCGGGGACTTAAAAAAGTTACCCCAAAATTGTCAACTTGTGAGTGTGTGTATGTGTGTAAATTTCTCCCTCACCCCCCTCAAAAAAAAACAAAAACTTGCCTAGAGTCTTTTGGGAAAAATATTGTTACTTGAGACAAAGTTAGTACGTAATGTTACGTCGGCGAGCTTCTTGGATATTCCTTGTACCAAACTGTGATATCTTTAGGGAGGTACCGCAAGTAGGCGTTCACGTTGATAGAGGCTGGTTGACCAATGGCGTCCAGATCGGATTTTTGTTTTGAAAGGAAGTCCAGAGTCGTTCTCTACCCAATACTGTATAGGGTTTAGGTTAGGTCATCCATCTGTTAATAGGGTTTATTAGTCATCCAACTGTTACCCAATACAAGGTTTATTCATCATCCATCTGTCAAAGGATGACTAATAAGCCCTATACTGTATTAGGTAGAGAAAGAGTCATCCATCTGTTACCCAATACAGTAGAAGTCCATAAAGCCGGACTGCTTGGGGATTGGGTCGGTCCGGATTTTCGGATTTTCCGGATTCTCAGGCAGTACTTTTAAAATTCAAATTTAAGGAGGAATAAAGAAGAGATGAACAGGTACATTTTGATAGTTTATTCATTGGCAAATATAGCATGGTTCATTTATCAAAATGAGCAGTTTTAAAGAAAAAGCTGTGAATTCTAGAATTTTATTCTTTGCCTTTTTTCTATAATAAATTGTAGACTTAATAATGTCGTATGTTTCCATAAGAACAGTATTGTTCACACCACGTTCTATTTTCTTAATTATTTCAAGTTTGTCACTCAATTTCAACGTGTTGTTCTTTCTCTTCACACAACCAAGTTTATCTACTTTAGGAGCCATTATTATGGGCTTGTACAGTACTCTGTAAATGGAAAGAGTAGGACTCAAAATTACATACTGTACATTGTCAGAGTTTGACTGCTCGTTTTAAAGTGGCGACCGCGTGGTCGCTGTGACGCTCACGCATACTCATATACACACAAAAGCCCGCTAAAAAAAAAAAAAAAAGTTTGAGTTTTCGAAAAGTCTGGATTCTCGGGTGGTCCAGATTTCTGGCATCCGGATTTTTGGACTTTTACTGTACAAGGTTTATTCGTCATCCATCTGTCAAAGGATGACTCTTAAACCCTATACTGTACTGTATTAGGTTGAGAAAGAGTCTGGTCTTCCTGACAAAACCAGAATCTAATTTGGACGCCATTGGTCGATTCACCACTATGAATGGGGCCGCCTCATTATATATATATATATAACGTATAACTAGAAGGTACCTCATGAGCTTGGTGCAGCGTTGGGAATATCTAATTGGAAGTTTTGCTGTACAGTATTCAGTAATGTGCCTATAATTGTATATTTTTGGATGTTAACTCTCTTCTTTTTTTTTTTGGAAATATTAAACAATATATTGAATGACTTACGCTGCTGCTCATGTAAAAAAAAAAAAAATATTCATATCTCTCAAGACCGGCTTAGAAAACTTCCTCTCTGTAGTGATCAGAATCACTTCCCTTCCTAACTTGAGATTTTAACAACTATAGAAGAAAACTTTTCTTATTTACAAAAGAAGAAGAAATAATTATTAAAAGTTAAGTAATATATATTTTACAAGTCCATCATCTTCTTCTGGGATATATTTAATAATTTCAGAAATATTTGAACTTGTTGAAAAAAAATGTTAAAGAATACAGAAAATAATCTATAACTGGTGGCCTTCATGGAACCTCCCTCCCCCCCCCCTCCTGTCTCCTCTCGATGTAAGCAGTTCCGTAATGTGGCAACTGCAGAGGAAACAACTCTGGCAGAATAATGACTTGGGGGGAACTTTCACTGTATACTGTACTGGACAATGTCAACTGTCAGCAGCTATAACTCTTATCTCAAGATATTTTATTATTTGTTTTTATTCGCATTTGTGTCGTCGTCATGATCGTAGACTCTTTAAAGACGTTTCGTTGTCATTTTTAGATTTGCTTCAAGTATTTAGGATTTTATTAGACAATTGATGTGGGTATAGTATTAAAATGCTCTCTAGTGGGATTCAATTGCCCTCTGGTGGGATTCAAATGCTCTCTAGTGGAAGAAGAACTACTTTTATCATCTATACAAGATTGATTAAATTATTCTTGGGTAATTAGGGTCATCGGTAGTTACTGTTGGCCTTGGAATATCTCTCCTCTTACTGGTGATTGAGGTCAACTAACTGTTCTCTTTTATTGCCAATTTCTTCCCCGATAATTGACTTTTTAAACGTCGTTCTTCTGTAAATTTTGCGTCTTTGTCCTCGACTTTTTTCTGGTTATTATTTACATCTATCTGGGAGGAGTTTTATGGTGACAGTTAGGGTCTGTTATTGACACAGTGTGAGGGTCTGTTATTGACACAGTGAGGGTCTGTTATTGACACAGTGTGAGGGTCTGTTATTGACACAGTGTGAGGGTCTGTTACTGACAGTGTGAGGGAAGTCTGTTATTGGACATGTGTGAGGGTCTGTTATTGACACAGTGTGAGGGTCTATATTGACAATAGAGTGAGGGTTCCTGTTACTGACACACTGTGAGGGTCTGTTATTGACACAGAGTGATGTGGTCTGTTATTGACACAGAGTGAGGGTCTGTTAGCTGACACAGTGTGAGGGTTCAATACACACTGGGTAGGGTCTGTTATTGACACAGTGTGAGGGTCTGTTATTATTGGACACAGTGTGAGGGTCTGTTACTGGATACAGTGTGAGGGTCTGTTATTGACACACACAGTGAGGGTCTTCATATTGGACACAGTGTGAGGGTCTGAGCACACACACAGTGTGAGGGTCTGTTACTGACACAGCGTGAGGGGTCTGCTGGCCACACACAGTGTGAGTGGTCTGCGGTTGGACACAGTGTGAGGGTCTGTTATTGACACAGGAGGGTCTGTTATTGACACACAGTGTGAGGGTCTGTTACTGACACACTGTGAGGTCTGTTATTGACACAGAGTGAGGGTCTGTTATTGACACAGAGTGAGGGTCTGTTATTGACACAGTGAGGGTTCAGTTATTGACACAGTGTGAGGGTCTGTTATTGACATAAGAGTGAGGGGTCTGTTATTGGACACACACAGTGAGGGTCTGTTACCGTGGACACAGTGTGTGAGGGTCTGTTGTTACTGACAAGACTGTGTAGGGTCTGTTATTGACACAGAGTGAGGGTCTGTTATTGACACAGTGTGAGGGTCTGCTATTGACACAGTGTGAGGGTTCGTTATTGACACAGTGTGAGGGTCTGTTACTGACACAGTGTGAGGGTCTGTTATTGACACAGTGTGAGGGTCTTGCTACTGACACAGGAAAGTCTGTTACTGACACAGTGTGAGGGTCTGTTATTGACACAGTAGTCTGTTACTGACAAGCAGTGAGGGTCTGTTATTGGCCACAGTGTGAGGGTCTGTTAGGCTGACACAGTGTGAGGGTCTGTTAAATACACACAGTGTGAGGGTCTGTTGGCTGACACAGTGTGAGGGTCTGTTACTGACACAGAGTGAGGGTCTGTTATTGGACACAGAGTGAGGGTCTGTTATTGACACAGTGTGAGGGTCTGTTATTGACACAGTGTGAGGGTCTGTTATTGACACAGTGTGAGGGTCTGTTACTGACACTGTGAGGTCTGTTATTGACACAGAGTGAGGGTCTGTTATTGACACAGTGTGTGGAGGGTCTGTTATTGACACAGTGTGAGGGTCTGGGAGCTATTGACATAAGTGTGAGGGGTCTGTTATTATTTACACAGTGTGAGGGTCTGTTGACACAGAGTGAGGGTCTGTTATTTTCACAGTGTGTGAGGGTCTGTTACTGACACAGTGTGAGGGTCTGGAGCTGGACACACACTGTGAGGGTCTGTTATTGACACAGAGTGAGGGCTCCTGAGCATACACAGTGTGAGGGTCTGTTATTGACATGAGTGTGAGGGGTCTGTTACTGTGACACAGTGAGGGTTCATACGACACACTGTGAGGGTCTGTTATTGACACAGAGTGAGGGTCTGTTGGGGTTGACACAGAGTGAGGGTCTGTTATTGACACATGTGAGGGTCTGTTGCTGACACAGTGTGAGGGTCTGTTGGCCGACACAGTGTGAGGGTCTGTTACTGACACAGTGTGAGGGTCTGTTAATAGACAGCTGCGTGAGGGTCTGTTATTGACACAGAGTGAGGGTCTGTTATTGACACACAGAGGGAGGGTCTGTTATTACCACAGAGTGAGGGTCTGTTGGCTGACACAGAGAGGGTCTGTTATTGACACAGTGTGAGGGTCTGTTACTGACACAGAGTGAGTGGCCTGTTATTGACACAGTGTGAGTCCTGTTATTACACACAGACACAGTGTGAGGGTCTGTTACTGGATACAGTGAGGTCTGTTATTGACACAGAGTGAGGGTCTGCCAGTTGACACACAGAGTGAGGGTCTGTTATTGACACAGAGTGAGGGTCTGTTATTGACACAGTGTGAGGGTCTGTTATTGACAAAGGCAGAGGGTCTGTTACTGACACAGGAGGGGTCTGTTATTGGGACACAGAGTGAGGGTTCACATGACACACAGAGTGAGGGTCTGTTATTGACACAGAGTGAGGGTCTGAGTATTGACACAGTGTGAGGGTCTGTTACTGACACACTCGTGAGGGTCTGCTTTGGCTGACACAGAGTGAGGGTCTGTTATTGACATACAGTGTGAGGGCTCATATTGACATAAGTGAGGGAAGTCTGTTATTGGATTTCACACTGTGAGGGTCTGTTACCGACACAGAGTGAGGGTTCGTTATTGACACAGTGTGAGGTCTGGGGTTATTGACACAGTGTGAGGGTTCGTTACTGACACACCAACAGAGGGTCTGTTAGCTGACACAGAGTGAGGGCTCACACATTACAGTGGTCTGTTGGCTGATTAGCCAGTGAGGGTTCACACTGACACAGTGTGAGGGTTCATATTGACACAGAGTGAGGGTCTGTTATTGACACAGTGTGAGGGTCTGTTATTGACACAGTGTGAGGGTCTGTTAATATTTTCACAGTGTGAGGGTCTGTTACTGACACACTGTGAGGGTCTGTTATTGACACAGTGTGAGGGTCTGTTATTGACACAGTGTGAGGGTCTGTTACTGACACAGTGTGAGGGTCTGTTGGCTGACACAGAGTGAGGGTCTGTTATTGACACAGAGTGAGGGTCTGTTATTGACACACAGTGTGAGGGTCTGTGAGTGTTAATATACAGAGTGAGGGTCTGTTATTGACACATTACAGTGAGGGCTACACATAGGGAGGGCTTGCATATATAGAGGAGGGCATACATAGAGGTTTGGCATATAGAGTGAGGGCCTATGGAGTATAGGGCCTATGCATATACAGGGAGGGCTTCATGGGCTATATAGGGAGGGCTCTGCATATACAGAGTGAGGGTCTGTTGGCTGACACAGAGGAGGGTCTGCACATTTATTGCGTGAGGGTCTGTTATTGACACAGAGTGAGTGGTCTGTTATTGACACAGAGTGAGGGTCTGTTATTGCTGACACAGGTGAGTGGTCTGTTATTGACACAGTGAGGGTCTGTTATTGACACAGTGTGAGGGTCTGTTAATGACACAGTGTGAGGGTCTGTTATTGACACAGTGAGGGTCTGTTACTGACACAGTGTGAGGGTCTGTTATTGACACAGAGGAGGGTCTGTTATTGACACAGAGGAGGTTCATTGACAGTGTGAAGGGGGGGTTCATATTGACACAGAGGAGGGTCTGTTACTGACACAGTGTGAGGGTCTGTTATTGACACAGAGTGAGGGTCTGTTATTGACACAGTGTGAGGTCTGTTAATGACACAGTGAGGGTCTGGTTGACACAGTGTGAGGGTTCATTATTGGACACAGTGTGAGGGTCTGTTATTGACACAGAGTGAGGGTCTGTTATTGGACACAGTGTGAGGTGGTCTGTTATTGACACATGAAAGAGGGTCTGTTATTGGACACAGTGTGAGGTCTATATTGACACAGGAGTGAGGGTCTGTTACTGACACAGTGTGAGGGTCTACATGACACAGTGTGAGGGTCTGTTTACTGACACACTGTGAGGGTCTGTTATTGACACAGTGTGAGGGAATTGTTGGCTGACACAGGAGTGAGGGCTGTTATTGACACAGTGTGAGGGTCTGTTATTGACAGTGTGAGGGTCTGTTATTGACACAGAGTGAGGGTCTGTTATTGAGCCACAGAGTGAGGGTCTGTTATTGACACAGGAGTGAGGGTCTGTTATTGACACACAGTGTGAGGGTCTGTTATTTTTCGGGACACAGTGCAAGAGGTGGTTCGTTACTGACACACTGTGAGGGTCTGTTATTGACACAGAGTGAGGGTCTGTTACTGGACATTGGTGTGAGGGTCTGTTATTGGACACAGGTGAGGGTCTGTTACTGACACAGAGGGTCTGTTACTGACACAGTGTGAGGGTCTGTTATTGACACAGAGTGAGGGGTCTGTTATTGGGACACAGGAGAGGGTCTGTTACTGACACAGTGTGAGTGGTCTGTTATTGGATTGACAGAGTGAGGGTCTGTTATTGACACAGAGTGAGGGTCTGTTATTGAGCCACAGAGTGAGGTCTGTTATTGGACATTAAGTGTGAGGGTCTGTTACTGACACACTGTGAGGGTCTGTTACTGGACACAGTGTGGAGGGTTCATATTGACACAGTGTGAGGGTCTGTTACTGACACACACCCTGTGAGGTCTGCTATTGATTACAGTGTGAGGTCTGTTATTGACACAGTGTGAGGGTCTGCTACAGGTGGTCTGTTATTGACACAGAGTGAGGGTCTGTTACTGATTACAGAAAGTGTGAGGGTCTGCTATTGGACACAGTGTGAGGGTCTGTTACTGACACACTGTGAGGGTCTGTTATTGACACAGAGTGAGGGTCTGTTATTGGACACAGTGAGGGTCTGTTATTGACACAGAGTGAGGGTCTGTTATTGACAGTGTGAGGGTCTCACTGACACACCGAGGGTCTGTTATTGACACACATGTTATCGACATATGGAAGACTACTACAGTACTACTACTACTACTACTTTGCTATCACTCAGAAACAGTATCACAAACAGCTTGTCAAGTACTGTAGTAAAATAATCGCAGAGTAAAATATCAAGTCATTAGTAAAGAAATACAGAAATATTAGTTAATTTTGTTATAAAATTTAAAAGCATGGAAGATTTTCACTCCTCAAAGATCATTATTATGTGTTTATTATGATTTACGTTAAATATTCCGATGTTTGGAGATGTTTTCTTTGACAAAATTATCATAAAAGTTTAGAAAAATGGTGTTTGGAGGAAGGAAGTTTATGTACAGAACTTTATCAAATAATTGGGGTATTTTTTTTTTTTTTGTTAGGAAGGATAGTTATCACAGTTATCAGCTTGTTATCTCCTATATAACCTAGATGATAACTATGGCTTCATTGTATCTTTATAGTCTTATTCTTTTATTTAATAACAACTTCATTCTTCCTTCATTCCTCACCACTGATATTACTCAGTGCTGAAATATTGCTACAGCTGGAATATTACTACTCACAGTGCTGGGATATTACTCGCAGTGCTGAAATATTGCTACTCACAGTGCTGGGATATTACTCACAGCGCTGCAATATTACTCGGCATAACCAGTTAGCGGATGTCTTAAAGTAAATAGGGTTTCTAAAGTCCTCGGTACCAGGAGTAGAGAGAGATGAGAGCTTATTTGTTTATTAGCCAAAGTGTTTGTTTGGCAAAAGATCCGATACATCACACTGTTTTGATTTGTGGGGAAAAGGCTTCGTGAGTTGGATTGTGGTTGTTTGTGGCAGAATCTTATCCCAGTAGTTTGGTTAGGTTGTTTTGTGTTACTGGGAGTTGTTTAGTAGATTTCTTTTGAAGTTTTATAAATACTTTGGGTATAAAAAGGCCAACTGGGTTTTTTAAAAGGCCAACCAGATTTAGAAAAAAGCCAATGGGTTTTTTAAAAGGCCAATCATATTTTTATAAAGGCCAATCAGGTCTTAAAAAGGCCAACCGGCACAAACTGACACCAGCTTCACTCTCCGCTGACTAACAGTTCACATGTCATTACTACGAAGGTGTAAAGCCCTCCCCCTCCCCCCCCCCCAGTCACTATTTCCTCCCGAATGTGAGGCTTAATTAAATAACCAAGACTAATGGATACGTTCAGAAAATGTTTTTATTTCATTTTATTGGACTAAACAATAAAAAAACCTGATATATATTTTTTAAATTAAACATCATCTTAGTTTAAATATATTGGAATAAAAAAAAAAGGATATTTCTGTAAAAAACAATGTTGCTTTATTCTAAATAGTTATATTAGGTTCATAGACATTTTCTGAAGGTAAGCCATTTGTCGACTACTGCCGTGGATAATGGCCGGTCGGCTACTTCACAAAATAAAAGGCCAAACAGAGGAATAACAAAAACATCAGGTAATAAAGAATTAAACAAAATCTTCCTCTTTGTCTTTCGTTTTTTCTCAGCTTTAAAACTTTATAACTGTAAATAATTGTACAAAGTCAATGTTGAATATGATATAGAGTATATTATTATTATTATTAAGGCCCCATAGTCTCATCAGTAAATTATTTAACCATATCATATCCCAGATTATTATTGTGATAAAAAAAAACACGATTGATGTTTTTTTATAACGTAATTTATTCCCCCCAAAAATTTTGACGATTTTTTTTCTGTAAATTAAGTATTAAATCTGATGAGTCTTTGATAATGTCTCCTAGGGGAAAAAATGTCTTTCGATATAGTTAATAGATGATTATTATTATTATTATTATTCACATGTTCAGACTGACTGACTGACTGACTGACTCATAGACTGAAAGAGTTTTTTAACAAGAGCTGGAGGGAAACAACAAAAAAGAAAGATGTTTGATAGGTTTTTATTACAAAGACTTCTAAAAAATAATAGTTACTAAAAAGTCTACATCTATTTATATTATGGATTCATCCCAACTCTGTATGTATCTCAGAATAAAAATGTAGCTCACTATATTTTTGGATCCTTTATGTACGAAAGAAAATGTAACCTATTTGACACCTATGATTTGTTTTAACCTATTTGAGGTCCATGAATTATTTTACTTATTTAGCACCTATGAATTGGTTTACCTATTTGAGATCTATGAATTAATTGCCTATTTAAGACCTATGAATTGGTTTACCTATGCAGTATAACATCTATGAAGTAGTTTACCTATTTAACACCTATGAATTGGTTTACCTATGCAGCTTCATTCCTCAGAGCTTCCATAGGTTATTGTAGCGAGTAAAGAAAGTAGGCCTCTTCCATGACACCGTTACTTTTACCTATAGACGAGGAAAGTCTTTAATTTTTTTACATGTTTACATTTCTCAGTCTTTACATTTCACTACTATGTAAAAAAAAAATCTGTATACAGTTACTAAAGTGTAAAAAAATATAACTTATTCAATATAAACTTTTACCCATAAATGATGTACGTAGTAATTTGGTCATAATATATAGTACTGTACAATTACTACTGCTACTACTACTACTATTACTACACCTAATTCTGTTTATAATGCACAAAAAAATACATTAATTAGTCGCTGTTGTAAATTATGTAGGATTTATATTAAGATTTCATAAAATTTCAAATGAATTTTTAATATGTAAATTGTAGGCCGTAAACAATACACTGAGGCCATAAACAATACACTGAGGCCATAAACAATACATTGTAGGCCGTAAACAATACACTGAGGCCATAAACAATACACTGAGGCCATAAATAACACACTGAGGCCATAAACGATACATTGTAGGCCGTAAACAATACTGAGGCCACAAACGATACATTGTAGGCCGTAAACAATACACTGAAGCCGTAAACAATACATTGTAGGCTGTAACCAATACACTGGGGCTGTAAACAATGCACTAAGGTCATAATAATACATTGTAGGCCGTAAACAATACACTGAGGCCATAAACACTTATATAACGAGATGTCACATACGGTAGAAAAATATAAAATCCACAAACTTCAAGGCCAAGCTGCCATCACCATCTGTCTGTCTTGCCAATAAACACACTACTGTACTAAAAATTAATTGCCGTATTTTTTTTTGTGTGTATATAAAACTCTCTTTCAGGGGAGATAAAACGAGTCCAGATTTACTACGTTGATTTTTTTTTACAAACACATAAATTTGTCTTTATATGTTATTGTAACTTACAAATTGGTGTTAAAATTTTTACAAGAGAGAGAAGAAAGATAATTTTGAACACAATAGAAAATACTGACCATATATTATACTTGAATTACATTTATGGTATATAAAGAAAGAACTATTGCTGGTCTTTCATCATTATATAAGTTTACCGAGATAAATTACAAACTGGACTTAAATGAAACCTAATCACGAACACCCAAAAAAATAATGTATGATTTTTTTATTGTAAAGATAAGAATTTACAAAACCACCTCCTGTTCAGTATCAAATAACTCTTGTTGCTATTTTTATACTAATATATATAATAATAATATATATTTTCCTATTATAGACATACTGGTATATTATCTTTTAAAACAATATACTGATCAACAGACCAAAGAATAAAAGGCAAGAGAGGAAATGCAATCAGAAACTAGATGGTACTGTACATAACTCCACTGGTGTTTTAACTATGCAAATAATAATTCTGACAGTCTTGCAATACCATGATACTACACCTAAAGGTCATAGAAGGTCAAAGGTTAATGGCCATTTGTGTGTCTTTTTTTTTAAACTGTCACCTCCAGAATATATTAATATGCCATTCTGATGCCTTTTCTCAACTGTCTATAATAAAATAATAAATCTACTAAACATTTACACTGTCATTTTAATCCAACCAAATTTTTTACTGTAAATCACAAAGCTAAACCAGGGAGACTGCCGCTTAAGTCGCACTCACATATTTAAAATCCCAACAACTGCACACAAAAAAAAAGAAAAAAGTTTATCAATCTTGACGTATTTTACTTTTTTTATATCGAGAAGTAAAATCAGAATTAAAAACAATGCCAAAGTTGACTGAAATAGTAATTCAATTCTTAAAAAAAAATAATGAACAGACTAAAATTGAAAACACAGTAAAGCCAGGGAACAAAAATGAAAGCTTTTAATGGTAT